GTGTGTGTGTGTGTGTGTGTGTGTGTGTGTGTAGCATGTGTGTGTGGCGTGTGTGTGTCCCTGCTCCACCTCCCTGCAGGGATGGAACATTGGCAGGTATTTGGTGGGGGGCGTAGGGTTCAAGCACCCGTTGATCCTTTGGACTGCAGCTGTAGCCTGTCTTGATCCCAACGTAGGCAGAATATTGTGCCTGTGGCGTGTTTTACAGAAGGTGGGACAGAGTTGAGTTGTTTAGGTTGAGAAAGAGAAGGTTTAAATTGCAAAGCAGTGGCTGAGGCCTCAGAGGGCCCCCTCTGAGCAGCAGTGAAGGTTTTCCGGCCCACACCTGGGGCTCCTGAGTCGTGGCCAAGCAAGCTCCATGGGGCAAACCCTTGGAGGGGGCTGACCAGTGGCCTGGCAGCCCTCTGCTCCCCCCCCCCGGCCCCCATGAAGCTGGTCGCCCTCCTCTTGGCTTCTCTCAGTGGTCCAACCCTCCTGGTTCCTCCCGTCCCTCCTTGAGGGGTCCGTCTGCAGCAGCCCTTTTGGGCATCTTCTGCCTCCTCCAGAAGGCCACGCCGGCTGGGAGCCGTCCCCCCCTTGGACCCCCCTCCTTCTCTTGAAAGGCCTCCAGGGCCTCTTTGGAAAAACGGGGCTCCTGGTTGTCAGGATGTGGGTTTGGCTATTGATGCTTTATTTCAGGCTGCTCTGATACCTAAACTGCCCTGGGCTCCCTGCTGATGATGAAGGGCATCTTCCCCTCCCTGGGTCCCCTGGGGGCTGCCAGAGACACCCCCGCTTCCCTTGTCTGGGCTTGGGGTTGAGGTGCCAGCTTGAGTCAAGCGTTCCCTGGGAGCCCCCCGAGAAGCCCGTATGGAGCTCCCCCCCCCTCCCAAAGGCCGTCTTGGTGGCCATTGGGAGCCAGGCGGCTGTGCCAGACTTTGGGCTGGAAGGGGGTTCGGATGTTGCTTCTCCCAATTTGCTGGGGAGGAGACAGCAAGGAGTCCCTCCCCCCTTGGCAGAAGATGCCCCTGCACACCTGGGTGAGAGGAGCAACTGGGCTGCCAGCCCTCAGCGGGGAAAGCGGCTGGCAGATGGTGGCCTCTGTGAGGACCGCAGGTGCACCTCCTTCCCCCGAAGCGGCTTCTGGGATTCGGGGAGGGCAGGTGATGCGCTGCTCCGCCCGGAGGAGGCTTCCCTCCAGGGCTGGTGCTCTGTGCTGGCTGCTTTCCCGAGGTGCCTTCATTGCTGCTGGAACAGCACAGGAGGAGGAGGAGGAACAGGCGCTCCCTGGGCGGCTTCCGGCAGGGCCCTTGGCCATGGATGTGGGGGGCTTGTGGTCGCAGATCCAGCAAAAGCGCTCTCTAATTCCTTCTGGGTACCACTTGTTCCACCATGAGGTGAGCTGGGGGGGGGGGCAGGAGGGCGGGTGGTTGGAGTCAGCCAGCCGGGGAGGAGGGGATGCGAAGTCAGAACTGCCGGCTGTCTCGGGCCTTGCTCCACCTGTCTTGGGAAGGGCCCCCTCTGGCGTTAATGCCGGTTCTCTGGGGAGAGTGGGCCAGGTGGAGGCCTGACTCCTTACAGTTTGGGACACACACCCTCCTCACTCTCGCATTACTAGTTGCGGTTTCCCTTTAAGGAGTTCCCCCTTGCTTCCCCCTTGTGGGGGTGGTGGTGGGGGGCTGGATACCCCTGTGGCCTTTCCTGCTTGGGGATCCAGAAAAGAGAATGATGTTGGGGAGCACATGTGCAGTATTCGATCTGGCAGGGAGCGCATGCTGCAAATCTCATCTGCCAGGGGCTGACAGCTGATGGGTGCCAGGAGGCTTCTCTGCTCTGGCACCAAACCCATGGAAGCCTCCCCCTGTAGTTGGCTTGCTCTGCCCCCATTAATAGCAATAGTACTTAGACTTACGGTATATGTGTGTGTGTGTGTGTGTGTGTGTGTATGTGTGTGTCTCCTGGGCTTCTCCGCCCTGGAGATTTGGTGTGTTTGTGTGGATGTGGGCACCTGTTTTCTCCTGCTGGGAAAAGGCTGCTGGCGCTGAAGAAACAAGCCCTTGGGTGCCCGGAGGCGGCTGATTGCCAGTCTACACAGGGATAATGTGGCGGCTTTTGAGTGGGGCTGCTTACTGGGGGCTTTGGGGAGGAGGAGGAGGATTCTGGTCCCTGGAGTGGGGAGGCCTCCCTCGTCCTGCCTGGGTGAAAGCTGGTACGCCTGCCGCACACAGGGTGCCCCTTTTCAGAGCTCCCGCCTGACCAGGTGCCGGATGAGCAGCTGGGCCGCTTCCTCCCGTGGGGTGGATCTAGGGAGACCACCTTGCTCTACTCCCCCCACCCCACTCCGTGCTGACCAACGGTTCCTGCCGTGAGGAGCCCCTGGCTGCCCTCGGCCGATCTGCCCTTATACAGCCATGACTCTTCTTGGCACCTTCCCTGGGACTCTGCTGAGTGAGGAAATCCTGTTTCCTCCCGTGGAAAATGCAGCTCAGAGTCTCTCTGGGGAGTTCTTGCACCCCTCCCTGGAAAGGAATGGAGGCTGTCTGGGGGGGGGGGAGGGCAGGGGGCTTGGAGAAAGCTCCTCCCAACAGCTCGGATTGCTATGCCCCTCAGCGCAGCCCCAGGGACCTCAGGCGTGTTTGGGCCAGTAAATCCCCTTGGGTCCCGCCCCCCCCCCGCCCGCTTTGAGATCCTGAGGACTAGAAGTCTTTTCACCCGATTGCTGGAGAGCCGGGCGGCTGAGGATCCTGCCCTGTGGGCTGCTGCTGCTGCTGCTGCTTCCGCCTCCTCTCCCGGGAGTGGGCCGCTGGAGGGCCGCTTCCACGGGGAAGGGTTGCAGCCAGGCAGGCTTTTCCTGCAAAGGCATTTTTTCTCCTTAAAAGGGAAGGGTTAGGAGGGGAAGGAGGGGAAGGAGGAGGCGGCTCTCGCTGGGCCACATCTGGCAGGCCACAGATGACTTCGCTGAAGACGGTGGCGGCCTCCGTGCTTGGCCAGGGAGCCTCAGAGGGGCGGCTGCCTTGCAGGATCCTAGGCCCCAGGAGTGAGCGGGGTCCAGGAGGTCATCTAGTCCAACCCCTGCCCAGGACAGGAAGGAGTCCACAGAATACGGAGCTGGCCACCCAGAGGGAACTTCACTGCGGTTTTAGGCAGACTGTTCCTCTGAGGAGTAGCTTGCATCCGACTGGTTCCTCTCTCTTAATTTTATTTACTTACTGAAATAATTTCCCTGGCTGCCCATCTACATTACGATTAAAGGCAACTGTGGGAAACGAGGGTGCCCATCGCCCAAGTGAACTCGGGTTTCCCAGCCACCTGGCCCCATCGCCGGCAGAGTTGGTCTCGCCTCCTGGTGGCCAAAGGTCCCCCGTCTGGTGGTCCGGCTGCTCTCCGGTCCCCACTCTTGAGCCCTGGCCTTCTTTTCTGCAGGCCAGACCGGCTGCCCCTCCTAACGCTCCTCCTGGGGGGGGGTTTCCTCCTCTGGACCCCCACCGGCTTCGTTTCATCCAACCAGCCTCCAGGAGACCGAAATAGGCACTGCCCCCCCCCCCCCGATCGTTTCTGCCTTGCTAGTTGCTGCCTCGCAGGGTCTGCTCCTGTGCAGTGGGGGGGGGGTGGGCTCCCTTCTCCCAGGGCAGGTTCCCCGTTGCCTCCGAATGAGGAGCTTGTGCCTGATCAGCCCCAACCTGTTTGATTTGCCCCGACCTTGAAGTCTGTGGAGGCCATTTTGTCCTCTAAGCTGTTTTCTGCACCTCCCAGGCGGCCTTTTCATTCGGCCTCTGGACCCTTTGCAAAGGCGCTGACTGGCCCCGTGTGTGTGTGTGTGTGTGTGTGTGTGTGTGTNTATATATATATATATATATACACACACACCGCATCACAGTGCTTTACATCCCTCTCTAAGCGCTTTAAAGAGTCAGCATGTTGCCCCCCAACAATCTGGCTCCTCACTTATTGATCTCAGGAGGATGGACGGCTGAGTCAACTTTGAGCTGGTCAGAATCGAACTGTTAAACTGCTGGCAGGCAGCAGAAGTAGCCTGCAGTACTACATTCTGTAGTGTTTATATTGTGTATAATTTTAATGTTTAATAACTCCATATTTCTATAATGATTGTTTTATTTGACTGTCGTATGCCACTCGGTCACTCCTGGCAGGAATCCCGGCTGTGTGTCTGGAGTGGGTGCTCAGAGACAGGAGTGGCTTATGGGAGCCAGGAGGGAAAAGTGGCCGGCTAGGCCAGTGGGGGGGAGGGGGTTGGGGGCAAACAGGGAGGTCCGGGTGTGGGTGGGAAGCAGACCCATTTGGGGGCCGGGCAGCCTGTGGAAGGGGAGAGGCCATCCCATCCGTCCGAGTGCTGGGCTAGGCACCCATGTCTCAGCCGGGTTGTTCTGTGCCCTTGGCAGGCAGGTGACGGTGCCCGCTTGGCAGAGATGGAGAACGCCCTGACGGCCCGGGATCGGGTTGGAGTGCAGGACTTTGTCTTGCTGGAAAACTTCACCAGCGAAGCCGCTTTCATCGAGAACCTGCGCAGGCGGTTCAAGGAGAACCTCGTCTACGTGAGTGCGGTGTCTGGTTTATTTATTTAAAAAGCCTGATTTTTTATTGATTTGTTTATTCAATTCTACAGCTGCCCATCTCAGTCAATGACTCTGGGCAGCTTAAAATTCAAAAAATACACTGCAATTAAAAATATTACAAACATTTTAAAACACTAAAAACATGCGGGATGAAATATACGTAGGTAGCCGACCGGTGAGCAGTGCAGCCAGCAAAGACATTGGGGGCCCCCATCGGAAGACAGCCGGCTCTTCAGGGCCTTACAGAAGGCTATCTGGGCCCTTTTAATCTCCGAAGGGAGAGGGTTCCACAGAGCGGCCTGACTTGCCTAGTGGGTTGGGGGCTCCTTCCTGGAGCATTGGCAGCCCCCAAATCAAAACTCTCCCATGGGTGTCTGGCGTGGTCTCCTCGCATTGGGGATCAAGGTAAGGGATGCCCGGCTCCAGGGAGCCCCCTTGCTCTGGGTGGCCCGAGGGCTGCTGGGGCTGATCGGCCCTGGGGGTCAGTGGCCCTGGGGGAATCTTCCTGGGCTCGGGCGGGGGGGGGTCTTCTTGGGGAAGGGAGTCCCCTGCAGGTGCTGGATTACAATGGAAGCTGCTGATGCTGCAGGCCAACCAAAATATCCTTGTGGCGCCCAGATCACGTAAGGAAAGGAGACAGGATTTTGGTCTTCTGGCTAAATTGGGGGGCTGAGGGCCCTCTTGAAAGGAGCCCCACTGAGTCAGGGCACCCGCTGCCCCCTCCTGACGCGCCCCTGGGCTGGCTTCCTCTTCAGACATACATTGGCTCGGTTCTGGTCTCGGTGAACCCCTACAAGGACCTGGAGATCTACAGTAAGCAGCACATGAACCGTTACCGTGGCGTCAGTTTCTACGAAGTCTCTCCTCACCTGTGGGTACCTGAACAGGCGTAATGCTCTCCCCCCCTCCCCCCCCCACTGCGCTGCCAAGGCCAGCTAATGGTGCGGAATGGCATTTGCACCCCTCGGCCTAGCAGATGAGCCGGAGGGATGGGGAGAAGCCCCCCCCCCCGGGTGCAGAAAGGAGGGCGGGCAGCGCCTGGCAGGTCAAAAAGGCGGGGGAGGGGGGAACGGGTGGGGGGAGTCACAGCAGGGCTCCCATTCCTGCTGCTTCAGCATTGACTTCGCTGGGCTTGACGGGAGCCAAACCCTGCCAGGCTCTCCTGCCAGTCCTGCCCCCCTTTGTGGCAGGAGAGACCTGGGGGTGTTGCTCCTGCCCTTTGGTGAGGGGGGGGGAGGGCCTTTGAGCAAGTAGCCCTGGAACTGCAGCCAGAGCCTCTGTGCTCCTGGGGGAGAGCAGAGCAGAGCAAGCAGCCTCTTGTCCTCCCGGCCTCTTCAGCTACGCCATCGCTGACAACTCCTACCGTTCGCTGCGGACGGAGAGGAAGGACCAGTGCATCCTCATCTCGGGGGAGAGCGGGGCGGGCAAGACGGAGGCCACCAAGAAGATCCTGCAGTACTACGCGGTCACCTGCCCTGCGAGCGAGCAGGTGGAGACGGTGAAGGACAGGCTGCTGCAGTCCAACCCGGTCCTTGAGGTACCCCTCGCGGCTCACTGAAGAATGGGGGTGCTGGTCTTGCTTTGGGGCCCCCGAGGAGGTCATGGCCAGCCTAAATCTTGGCCTCTTCGGTGGCATGTGCAGGGTAGGAGTTCGCAGCCCCCGACCACTCAAGGAAGCACTTCTTGGCACGAAGCAGGGGGCTTCTTCGGAGGGCCCCCCTGCTTGTTTGGAGGGAACTGTGGCCCTTCTCCTCCCGGCCTTGAGGCTGGGGGCCTCCAGCGTCAATAAGGGTTTTGTCCTCGCCTCCCCCGCCTGCAGCCCCTTCCCCCTTCCAGGGAGGCAGGCAGCATGGAGTGCAGGGGCTTCTGGCCGGGAGGAGAGCCTGGGCCTGAGGGGGACAGGGGAGCCGCAAGATAGCCACCCTCTCTGCTTTCTCTGCTTCCTGCTCTGACCAGGCCTTTGGGAACGCCAAGACTCTGCGCAATGACAACTCCAGCCGCTTTGGGAAATACATGGACGTCCAGTTCGATTACAAGGTAGCCGAGTGGATGGAGGCGCTGGGCGGACAGCCAGGAAGGGGGGAGGGAAATCCGGCCTTTGCTCGGGGGGGGGGAGAATGAGCCCACCGATTCCGGTTCCCATCCCTGAAGGGCTCCCCTCCTGCTGCCGCCGATTTGGCTGACTGGGGGGGTGCCTGCAGCTCCATCCTTGGGGCCTCTCGCCAGCAGCACCCAAGCCTTCTCCTGTGTTGCCTAGGGGGCTCCCATCGGGGGCCACATCCTGAACTACCTCTTGGAGAAGTCGCGGGTAGTGCACCAGAATCATGGCGAGAGGAACTTCCACATCTTCTACCAGCTGTTGGAGGGGGGGGAGGAAGACCTGCTGCGGAGGCTGGGGCTGGAGAAGAGCCCCCACCAGTACCAGTTTCTGGTGAAGGTAAAGGCAGCCCTGATTGGTTGGTGGAGGGCCCTGCAGCTCTTAGCCGCCTCAAAGCACTTTGGTGCCGATCACGGAGGCTCCCGTGGGAATGTGCTTAGCGTGTCTCCTGGTCTCGCCTTGCTTGTCCAACCTGCGGCCACCCACGTATCGGGCATGGGGAAGCGGGGATCTGTTCTTCAGGGAGCCCCTTCTGCCCCCTTTGCACACAGGGCCAGTGTGCCAAGGTCGCCTCCATCAACGACAAGAGCGACTGGAAGGTGGTGCGCAGGGCACTGTCCGTCATCAACTTCAGCGACAGTGAAGTCGAGGTGAGAGGCCCTCCCCCCCTCCCCCCTCCCTCCGGGGAGAGAAGCCTTTCCCAGGGACACCCCTGCCACAGGGCCTGGTTCACAAGGCCTCTTCCTTTCCCAGGACCTGCTGAGCATCATTGCAAGCGTGTTGCACCTGGGGAATGTGCAGTTTACAACTGACGAACACGGCAGTGCTCAAGTGACCACGGAGAACCAGATCAAATACTTGGCCAGGGTGAGTGACAGGATCTGCTCCAGACCTCCATTTTATCCACGATCCATCACAGGGGAAGCGAAATGGACCAACCGGCTTTGGAGGCGCTTTCAAATATGCTTTGAAATTCCTCAGAAATGTTCCCTGAGGCTGTCCGTGGTTCAGCCGAGGTTGGCTTAGGGGGCAAGTGCTGGTCGCCCGTGATCAGCCAGCCCTTCGTCTGCCCATCCCCTGCAGAGGGCCGGCTGTGCTCTCCTGCCAGGAAGGTGGACCCAAAGGGAGGCGAGGCAGGTGCAGGAGAAAGAGTGGGTGGGTGGCCAGGTTGCCCCGGGAGCAGCCCCCCCCCCTTCCTGTTCCCTTCTCTGCCCCAAACTCAGCCCTGCTCCCCGGGCGTAGGAGGGACCGTCCGGGACTCTCACGCGTTCTCTTTTCCTTGGTTCGAAGCTCCTGGGCCTGGAGAACTCGGTGCTGCAGGAAGCCCTGACCCACAAGAAGATCATTGCGAAGGGAGAACAGGTGAGAGGAGAGTTGCCGGCAGGACGGTTCGGGGCGGTGGGGTGGCCTGGCGACCCCCTGGCAGCCGCCTGTAAGTCCCGAGGGGCTTGGTCCTCGCAGTGAGGCTCAGCTGGAGACGCCTCTCCTTCTCCCCTGCAGCTGGTCAGCCCTCTCAGCCTGGAACAGGCCTCCTATGCTCGTGACGCTCTGGCCAAGGCCGTCTATGGGCGCACCTTCTCCTGGCTGGTGGGGAAGATTAACAAGTCCTTGGCTTACAAGGTGAGTTGGCCTCAGGCGCCCCAGTGGCGGCCTCCGCAGGGGACTCGTTCGGGCCCAAACAGCGCCTGCGGGTTCCCCACAAGGGGGCTCTTGTCTTGGGACTTCTCCCCCATGGCCGAGGCTCGCCCGTCGTTGGTTCTGAACTCGGAGAGGAGATGTGAAACGGGGGTTGTGTTTTAGCATCCCCATGAAGCAGCCAAATGTCCCGGGCAGGAAATGGGGTGCCCCTCCAGCGGCACAGGGCCGGCCCAGAGGGCGCCTCCAGAGGAGGAGCTGCACTGCCTCCGTCGGGTAGGCGGCCCAGGGCTGCTTGGGAGGGGTGCCCGTTGTCTGGTGCAGGAGAAGCTGGTGCTGCCACTGCCACCCAGCCAAAAGGACTCGCCTGTGAGGAACTCACCTGCCCGCCAGAGTTGGTTAGTAGAGCGGGAGGGCTGAGCCAGGCGCCCCCCGAGGAGGAGGAGCTTAGATGGAGACCCTTATTTGGCAAGAGCCCCTTTTGCCAGAAGGGGAAGATTGATGGTGGGCAGCCAGTGGAAGGCCGCCCTGACGCAGCCCCCCCCCCCAGGGAGCCGTGGGCTGGTCAGGAAGGGCCCTGGGGTGCAGAAACCCAACGGGAATTTGAAAAACGTCTTCGGCATGCTGGGAATGTTTCTGAAATGCAGATCCCCTTTCTTGGGGCGGGGAGGGGCTTTTCAGTGACTTACAGGTGAGCCCGCAAAGGGGTTTCTTAGGCAGCTCCCACTCTGGAGGACACTCCCCCTTCCCTGGGCACTCCCTCGGTTACTCTGTCCCCCTGGGGAGCAGGCCCGCCCGCCCGCCCGCGACAAAACAAAGATGCCTGCCGGGTGTGTTTTGCACGGCCGCAGCTGTGCCAGAAAGAGCTGCAGAGAGCAGCTGGGAGGGCCCCGGCGTTGCTTTGGCTCTGCCTGGGAGGCGAGTGGTGATTAGCGAGTCTTCTACGGGCCTCCTTTGCTGCCATTGTTTGCTGTGGCCAGTTTCAGTTTTCTTTATATGCAGGTTTTAATGGGAAGATGCATTTATTTAAGTAGCAAGAACAATAAAGAAGCAGACGTCCAAACCACAGAACCCCCCCCCCCCCAAAGGATTGGGTAAAGAAGATTAATCATTTAAGGCGCTGGGCTACAGGACAGGAGACTGTGAGATCTAGTCCCGCCTTAGGCTGAAATGTTCGAAGCCTCGATTGTAATTGTGCATCCATGTGTATACAGCGAAATTGGGGTCAGGAGCCGCTGGGTGGCCTTAGGCCAGTCGTCTCGTCTCAGTCCCAGAGAGAAGGCAAGCGCCTTCTGAAGGACTTGGCCAAGTAACTGCCCAGACTTGTCCAAGCAGCCTCCAGGAGGGAACATTGGCTCAAGGGCACACACACAGACANGTGAAGTGTTAATACTGTTTTACAAGGCCTTGGTAGGCCCACACCTGGAACACTGCATCCAGTTTTGGTCACTATCATTGCAGAGAAGAGCAACAAAGATGATTAGGAGAGTCTAGGACAACTCAAATAGAAATAGAACAGAGTTGGAAGGGGCCTTGGACGTCAAGTAGTCCAACCCCCTGCTTAGACAGGAGACCCTATACCACTTCAGACAAATGGTTTCCAATCTCTTCTTTAAAACTTCCAGTGTTGGAGCATTCACAACTTCTAGAGGCAAGTTGTTCCACTGGTTTCTCAGTCAGGAAATTTCTCGGTTGGTTTTCTCTTTTAGAGTTTGTATCCATTGCTTCTTGTCCTGTCTTCTGGTGTCTTGAAGAATAGTTTGACTCCATCTTCTTTGTGGCAACCTCTGAGATAGCGGAACACTGCTATCATGTCACCCCAGTCCTTCTTTTCACTAGCAACCGTTCTTTATATGTTTAGTCCAAAGTCCCCTTTAAAAAATTCCTTTTTCCAGTGCTGTTGTAACCTCAAATGGTCACTAAATGAACTGTTGTAAGTCAAAGACTACTTGTAATGTGATCCATAAAATAGGAAAAGTATTCTCAGCATCAAAGTCCTTATTTTTTGGGAGTTATAGCTATTCTAAAGGGAAGATAGTTTCTATTCAACAGTGACTTGTTTGCACCAACAAGTTTCAAAACCAACATTCAATAAAATAAACTGTTTATGTTATCAAGTTATGCTTCTAGCAAAACAAGACACTTTCAGGGTCTACTTGGAGAGTTAAGATATTGTGAATTGCCATTGGGTGGTTAGGTAATAATATAATGGCAGCCATAGTGAGCATAGTTAACACCTCTGTAAGCCAAAAAGCAAGTGAGCCTGATCACCATTGTAGCTTCCTGTGATGCTGTCTACATTGTAGCCATTTGCTTCTGGTATACTTTCAAAAATGCTGCCACCATCTTCTAGGAACATCAGGGAATATGCCAGAGATATTTGTGATACCAGAAGTTCAAATTTTCCTGAATGAATTCATATTTAATCTTTGGAAATTTATGTATGTATGTACCTATCTAATACACATATATACTGAAACAGTATATATGTATATGTACATACTGAAACAGTATGTATGTATGTATGTATGTATGTATGTATGTATGTATGTATGATGTATGTATGGATAGATAGCTTTCTGTCCATTCACAAGTGGGCTATTTTAAATTTTACTGATCTTTTTAAAGTTACTATGTTTATAATTTTCCTTTTGATTATCTGATTAGGGAAATATAATTGTGGCAGAAAAATGCTAGGCATAAACTTTTAAAAGTAAAGAAAAAAGTAAAAAAAAGTAGGTGAGGTGAATTTATAGTGAGGCTGAAGATAGTTCCTCCTTAAGGAGAACCTCAACTCTTAGCTCATGGGGGATCTAAATCAACGACCTCCACATCTCTTCTATCAAGAACCTAAAGCTCTGTAAAAAAAACTTGAAAAATGCATGTTTATATTTAAAAGGCAGGTTCAGTAATGCTCGAATAAACGATTTTTTCTGAGTTTGTTAATAAATATCCTCATTTAAATATTTTAACCCATAGATGGCGCCCCCGCCCCCATTACGGAACCGATTTAAGAGGCCACTCAAAGGCCTCCTCGTCCCAGTCCGTTTCTTCTGCAGCCTCTTCCCTTCCGCTCATTCCCCGGGAACAGTCGGGCCCCAAATCAGAAAAATCCGCCGCTCCTGCACTCCCCCCGCCCCCTTCCTTTTGCTTTCTCTTTCGGCCTCCCGTGTTACTATGGTTACCACCCCCCCATCGCGCGCTTTCCGCGACGGCCCCCTCCGGCCATCCCAAAACCCCCGGAAGCCCCTCCCCAGGCAGGGCCCTCCCCTCCTGCAAGGGGAAAGGCCGCAGGAAAGCTGCTCCCACCGAGCCCAAGCCCATAGCGAGCCACCTCGAAGCCCTCCCGGCCGACGGCCGCATCGCCCGCAACCCGGCTGCTCTGTACGAGAGGCGGCAGAGGCCCAGGCGCGGCCCCCTTCCGTCGCTCCCAACAGCAGCCGCTCCAGGCACTCACCCGCCGCCATCTTCGCTGGAGAGGCGCTGGCCACGCCCCCTCGCCACGCCGCGCCGATCCGCCTTTGAGTGTCGCGCGGAAGAGGCGCCGGGCCGAGGGGAGGATCGCCGAGCGACCCAGGCGCCAGGCCGAGCGGAGGAGCGCCGAGTGGCAGCCGGTGTGACGCGTGGAGAGTCGCCCGGCGGGAACGCAGCTCGCAGACCGGCCAGCGCCAGGTGCGCTGCCTTCCCTGTCGGCCCCACCAGGCGTCCGGCGTCCCACCTGCTTTCCCCGAAGGCGCCCGGGTCACCCCGCGTCTCGCTGGCGAGAGTTAGAGGGAGGGAGGGGGGTTGTGGGGCGCGGAGTGTGCCCCGGGCTCCCCTGGCCTCGCCTGCTTCCCTCTCTGGTCTTCCCGCTTGAGAAAGGCGCCGGGCGGGCGGGGGCTGCGCTGTGGCTGCGGGGAGGGGCTCCCCTTCCTCCCCCGGTCCCTTCCTGGCAATCAGGGCCGTTTCGTTGGGTTTCAGGCTCGGGAGGCCGCCGAGTGAGTCAGCAGCTGGCGGGGAGTCACCATGGGGGACGAGCTGACAGCCCAGGAGAAGCTTCACCTCATCACCCGGAATTTGCAGGTATTTGGCTGGGGGATTGGGTGAATGGAGAAGGGGCGGAGGAAATCAGCCCTTGGACTGGGTTCCCTCTCGGCCCTGAGCATGGAGAGGCCCCAAGCGCTGCCCTGGGAGAAGCTCAAGTCGTCCATTCCTTCCTTCGATTTCTATAGCCGCCCATCTAGTCAATGGCTCTGGGTGGCCTACGGTTTCAAAATTATAAAAACTAAACAATAAAAACGGCCAAAATAAATATGCACGGCCGCCAAGGTATTTAGCCACTTAACAGTAACTGTTAACGTGATCCTATGGTAGTGATTTCATTTGGAAATAGATACACCAAATACTGTTGGTGTAATGTTTTAATTTTTTGAAGCTTCTGAAAAATAGATAATAGGCAGGATGGGACCTCCTCTTTCAGCTACAATTTTGAATTCCCAGGGGAACAAAATTTGAAGTGATTTAGGTAGACAGAAAATGAGGGGAACTGCAGCCTCAAAGGATTAGCCATATTGTTAGATTCTTTTATTGTGCCTTTCCCCCCTAAACACTATTTCAACTATAGACTTGCAACAGTGGTGGGTTTCAAAAATTGTTTGAACCTACTCTGTGGGTGTGGCCTCCTTTGTGGGAGTGGCTTGCTGCCCATGTGACTGGATGGGAGTGGCTTGCCACCCATGTGAGCGGATATGAAGATGCCGATGACACTTGTCAGAACCACCTTAAATTACCTCACACACAGCACTGGCATGCATAAGAATATGATGTAAATTTGTTTTTTAAAAGGCATCTTTGGTTTGCGTTAAAACAACTTCAACACACGCAATGTTCTGATTGCACCACAAACGCAGTAGTCATCCTTATCTTTCACAGAGGCACTGAGTTTTATAAATATGAGCATGATAGTGTAGAACAATCATATCCAAGGTCCAGTAGTGGGTTTCAAAAAAATTTGGAACTTCTTCTGTAGGTGTGGCCTGCTTTCCAGGTCCACTGGTGGAACCTCTTCTAACCGGTTCGGTAGATTTGACGAACCGGTTCTACCGAATAGGTGCGAACTGGTAGGAGCCCACCCCTGACTTGCAACCACAATTGAGAACAAAATTTCGCTTTAAGTGAGGCCATTGTTTTTTTTTATAAAGATTTTTTATTTTTGTTACATAGACAACATATACACACAACAATAGAGAAACAAAAACAAAAAAGAGAGAAGAAAAACACACACACACAAAAAAAACCCCATCATCGCATACAGCATGTCGTCTGGTTACAGGTGTTTTAACATTTATCATTCTTATACATTTATTATTTCATTTAATAGGTTATAATTTAGTATCATTTCTTATTCCCCTACCTGTGGCAATCCATCCCAACTACATTTCCCCCACACACACACACACCCCGTATCTCTCTGTTATATATATATTTAATATACACAACAATAATAAAACACACACACACACACACAAAAGAAAAAAAACACAAAAAGAAAAAAAAACCATCATTACATATAGCATGTCGTTTGGTTACAGGTGTTTTAACATCCACATCCTCGAATAATATTTACCATCTCAGACTTTTCATCTAGTATAACTAAATACCTCACTTTCATTCTACAATATATATTCAGTTACCATTAGTATTATTTTTTCCCAGAAAATATACTTATGTTCATTATTATCTTTGTACTTCATACTTTAAGTGAGGCCATTGTTAAGTGACTTGTGTCCAATTTTACAACCTTTTTTACTATGGCTTAAGTGAATCATGGTAGTTATTAAGTGAATTGTGGAGTCATGTCAATCAGACTTTCCCCCTTGACTTTGCTTGCTGGAAGCCAACTGAAAAGGTCAGAAATGGTGATCACGTGATTTCAGGACACTACAGTTGTTGTAAATACTTGCTGATTGCCAAGCACCAAAATTTGAATGTCACGACTGTGGGGGTGCTGCATTGGTTAAAACCAACAAGGACTGGTTATAAGTCACATTTTTCAGTGCTTACAACCACAATTGAGACCATTTTTGTGGTTGTTAAGCAGAGTGATTGATAAATGAGTCACATCCAATCTTATGACTTTTTGGGCATGATTGTTATGAATCTAGCTTTTCCTATTGACTTTGCTTGCCAGATGCCAGCTGGGAAGGCCAGAAATGGCAATCATATGACCCCAGGATGCTGCAACTGTCAGAAATACATGCTGGATGCCAAGCAACCAAATTTTGATTATGTGACTTTGGGAATGCTGGGTCACTTGTAAGTGTGAAGATTGATTATAAGGTCACATTTTTCAGTGCTGTTGTAACTTTAGTCAATAAATAAATAAAGGACTACTTGTACAAATCAGTATTTTAACAGTTGGGATGGGGATGAGGAAGCATTTTTGTTTGTGATGATGTTTGGCATTTGGGAAGTTGAAAAGCCAGGTTGGATCATCCAGCGATCTTCAGTATGTCCTCCTAAGTCACTCTGTGGTGGTCAGTTATTCCTCTGTAAGAATTGTCCTGACAGCAGTTTCCCAGGCATTCAGGGAGCCTCCATCCTATCCAAGGGCTCCATAACAGAGAAATAGAGGCATTCCTCAACAAACAAGCTGCTTTGGAAAAGTGGTGTAAATAGCATTTTGAAATTGACCAAGAAGCCATCTGTGTAAGGAAGGACATGCAGGGAAAATGTGGTACAGGACAGAGGGGAAGAAGAAGTTGGAGAATGTTGATGAGGGCCAGGAGTGTTTGGTAGAAGATGCCAAAGCAGCCAAAGGTTCAGTGGCTGACTAGAGCAGCTTTGGCTGGAGATTTTTTTTTTTTTTGGGGGGGGGGGGGGAAGGATCAAGATCAGAACTTTCAGGTGGATACAGCAGCAGCTGGAGAAGATTAGACAGAGCCCATAGGAAAGACTCGGGAGAATATATGTAGTCCTTGACTGACAACAGTTCATTTAGTGACCATTCAAAGTTACAATGATACTGAAAAAAGTGATATGATTTTTCATACTTAGAATCATTGCAGCATCCCCAGAGTCACATGATCTAAGTTCGGCGCTTGGCAACTGGCATGTATTATGATGGTTGCAGTGTCCTAGGATCATGTGATCACCTGTGACTTTCTGACAAAACCAATGGAGAAGCTAGATTCATTTAACAACCCTCTTACTAACTGAACAATGCAATGATTCACTTAACCAGGGTGGCAACAAAGGTTGTAAAATGGGGGAAAACTTAAACATCTCGCTTAGCAACAGACATTTTGGGTTCAATTGTGGTCGTAAGTCAAAGACTGCCTGTAAAGACACAGTGTGAGCTTAAGGCTCCTTCTCTTTTTCCCTCTCCTTCCTGTGTTTTGAAAATGCTTAGAGCATTGGCAAGATTCACGCTTCTGAATTACATGAGACTCATTTTCAGGTAGGTTATCAGAAAGACTATATTACTCAGCCAGCACTGTAAATATTTGAGGACAGACCCTCTCAGTCACACTAGAAATCTGTGTTGTGATCGAAAAAAGATGAGTGCAGAACGCAGAAATGGACAGTGTCAGGGCAGCCTCCCTCAGTAACCAAGAAAGAAACCACTCANTACCAATTTTCAATTATTCCCTTATTAAAATTATTTATCAGCAACAGGATATCATTATAATAATATTCTTAACATTATACCTTATATCACCAGGCCTCTATCAGAGCAAACTCTTAGTGGGCTGCCATTCTGGGGCTGCATCAGGCAAGACACGATGGGTATTTTGCAATGGATTCCCCTCTGCTGAGGCTGTCATTTTGGCACAAAATCCGGCATGGAAAGCGAAATGCCGGCCTCTGCTGTGTTGCTGCAAGGCCCCCCCCCCCCAGCCCTTTCTCCCCTCCCTGCCTTTGGCTGTGACCGGCTCTCCGGGTGGCGGCCTAGGACGGGCGTAGCAAAGGCTTTCCCCCTCCTGGCCAGGAGCGCTGCGGTTCAGGGAGGGGAAGCGGCTTCCCAGGGGTCTCTGGCAGCCCAGGAGCCCAAGCGGTGGGTGGGGGAGGGGCTGCTAGGCACCTGCTGCCTAAAGGAATATTATTTTCCACCTGGGCTTTTCTCTCACGGCTTTTATGTATTGGTTTGACTTCTTTTGTTTCGGCCTTGCTTTAACAGTGTTGCTTGATGACAGCCATTTGGTGGTTTTATCACCCCTTCTGCCTTGCTGACTGCAAGTCTAAACTATTGTCAAACTATTGTCAATTCCTGGGACAAACCTCTCCAGAAATGCCGGTTCCGGTCTGACTCAGCCGGGTTAAGTGCAGGGCCAGTGGCTCCCTTGGGGCCTCCTCAGGAGGCAACTGGACTTCCTTATTTTGCTTCTCATCCAAGGAGCTTCTTCAACTCTTGCCCAGTCAGAGCTGAGGAAGCTTCCTGGATGAGAAGCGAAATGTCTTCAGAGAAAAACAAGGAGGTCCAGTTGCCTCATGGAAAAAAGAAAAGCCCCTTTGGGACAACCTGGATGGCGGAGGCTCTCCGGGGACCCTCTTGGGCTAACGGGAGAAGCAGCATCCGCTGGGCAGCTGCAGTCGTATCTGGGGAAAGCGTGGGATGAGCGGGGGTCGCCCTGGGGCTCGGGCAGGGTCCTCCATGCTGGCCTGGGCAGCCCCCCTTTGAAAAAGGCACTCGGGCTGCCTGTGCTGGTCAGGAAGGCCGGAGGAATCGGAGAGTTGCCAGGCTTGCCTGGGGATCGGTGGGGGCTCCGACTGCGGGCATCACCGGCATGCCTGGCACAGCGGGTGTTGCCTGCTGGCGTGATTGAACTGGAGGAGGCCCCCGCAGTCGCAGACCAGACTTGAAAGGGAGGAGGGGCCGCTTTTCCCCTCTGGGGTCTCCGGAAGGGCAGAGCGGTGGGGCTCCCATCCTTGTTCTCCCTCTTCTTTCCCAGGAGACGGAGGGCCTGGGCTGGAGGAAGAGCTCCACTGTGCTGGGACTGCTGGATATTTACGGATTCGAGGTTTTCCAGCACAACTGGTGCGTTTCTGGGCACCTGGGCATCCCCTTTAGCTGGGAACCCTTTGGCAGGTGGATTGGCAGCCCTTCCAAGGCAATGTGCCTGACGTGCCAGGGTTGCTCTCGCCCTCCGTCCGGGCTCCCTAGCAGCTTTGCAGAGCCCACAGGACCCCCTTGCGCTTTGGGGGAAGCCTTTCCAAGGACCTTGTGCTGCACAAGGGGTTTGCAGAGCCGGCCTGATGGGTGCTGGCCACTCTGCCGCTTTGGTATCCGCGTGCGTGTGTGTGTGTGTGTGTGTGTGTGTGTGTGTGTGTGTGTAAGAGGGTGTGGGTGACTGGGAGTTCTCTGGATCAGCCCCCCCAAAACGCCCCCTGCTTCCTTGCAGCTTTGAGCAATTCTGCATCAATTACTGCAATGAGAAGCTGCAGCAGCTGTTCATAGAACTCACCCTGAAGTCTGAGCAAGAGGAGTACGAAGCCGAGGGCATCGCGGTAAGAGCCCCCTCCCCTCCCGCGGTGACCCCCGGGTGGGAGAGCCTGGCGGGAGAGCCCAGCTCCCCTCGCTTTGGAGGCCAAGGGTGGTTGGTGCTTGGAAAGGGGTGGAGGATGGGGGAGCTCAGGTGGGCTGAATCGGACCTGTCTTTGTGAAACGGCAGTGGGAGCCAGTTCAGTACTTCAACAACAAGATCATCTGCGACTTGGTGGAAGAAAAGTTTAAAGGCATAATTTCCATTCTGGTAAGTCCTCCTCCAAGGAACCCCAGGGCAGCCGGAGAGCCCCAGGCAGCCCGGCGTGGTGGGGGGAGCGTGGCTTTCCCCTGGGTCCCTTCCAACTCTGTTAATCTGTGCGCCTTCTGCCCCCCGGGCCTTTCCACCTGCCCCACAGAGGGCTGAGAGTTGACCCATCAAGCACCAGGTCCACCTCTTAAGAGTCTGTGCTGATGGCCATTTCGAGCTGTGGGCCGCACTTGTGGGGAGCTGACCCCCCTTCTGGCCTTCTGCCAACATGGGCTGCTCACACGTAAAGCAGCCCAGGGGAGGCACCCTGACCCCCCCCTCCCCCCCTCCTCCCCCTTGGCTTCCCCTGCAGGATGAGGAGTGCCTGCGGCCTGGGGACGCCACAGATACGACCTTTCTGGAGAAGCTGGAGGAGACCATTAAGAGCCACCCCCATTTCCTCACGTGAGTTCAGAAGAGATCCCCCCCCCGGCAGGAAGAGGAGGGGGTGGCGCAGGTTCAAACCACGGGCGGCTCTTTCGCCAGTTGGGCTTTGATTTCAATATTATAGCTGCCCGTCTCGCATTCTACATGGACAGCTTACAAATTCAAACACGAACAACACAGTTTAAAAAAGGAAAAAAAAATAGCCCTAGGAGCTTGAAAAGATTGAAGTTCAAAACCATGCGACCCCCCCTCTGTGGGAGGGGGTCCATTCAGGAAGGGTTTTATAGGCTCCGCAACACACACACACACACCCCGTCTGACCCCCCCCCCGCCCCCAGGCCAGCTCCTCAGGTCTGCCTTCTTGTAAGCATAGGCACCCCAGGGGGGGTGGGGGGGCTTGCTATGGTGTGTCCTGCAGAAGGCCCTCCCCAAAGAAGTAGGAAAACCCAAAGGTTTTGGCATTAAGAGGAGCCTGACGATTAGAATAACTAACCAGTGGGACACAGCCAGAGGTTGTGAGTGCTCCAATACAGGAAGTTTTTAAGGCAAGATTGGACAAGCGTTTGTCTGAAATGGTATAGGGTTTCCTGCCTTAGCAGGGGGTTGGACTAGAAGACCTCCAAGGTCCCTTCCAATTCTATTATTCCGTTACCCTATTGTTGACCCCCCCCTCCCCTTTTCCCACGGGGTTTCCTTCATCCTCCCATAGTCCTTGGCTGAAACGGCCTGGCCAAGCTGTGGGCTGAGCCTCTGCCGTGCTTTCCCCACAGCCACAAGCTGGCCGATGCCAAGACCCGGAAGTCGTTGGGGCGGGAAGAGTTCCGCCTGCTGCACTACGCCGGGGAAGTCACCTACAGCGTGGCAGGTCAGCCTTCCTGCAGCCGCGCAGGGCCCGCTCCCCTCCTCCTCCTCCTCCTCCTCCTCCCCGCCCGGCCCCTGCCCAAGGGGTCCTCCTGCTGCTCACCTCGTGGGTTTCTGGTCTCCTCCCCCAGGTTTCTTGGATAAGAACAACGACCTGCTCTTCCGGAACCTCAAGGAGGTGAGCCTGGGGAAGTGCTCTGGCCAAGGGGGGGGGCTCCCCACAACCCCCCCCCCGGAAGATGCAGTGATCCCCCACGATCTCCTTTGCTGCCCTTGCAGGCCATGTGCGACTCAGAGAACCCCATCGTCACCCAGTGCTTTGACAGGACGGAGCTGACCGACAAGAAGAGGCCTGAGACGGTAAGGCCTGGCGGAGGGGCCCCACGTCCCCCCTGCCCTCCCCCTCTGTCAGGCCCTCAACCAACCTCTTTGGCTGCCTTTCAGGCCGTCACCCAGTTTAAGAACAGCCTCTTGAAGCTGATGGAGATCCTCATGTCCAAGGAGCCCTCCTACGTCCGTTGCATCAAGCCGAATCATGCCAAGCAGGCCGGTAGGTGCGGGGGGGGGTGTCAGCAGGGGCCCCCAACCCTCCCTCCCCACACCCACTGCTCTGGGAGCCCAGGCTGAGGACGGCCACCCTCATGGGGAGAAGGACGTCCGCTGGCATCCCTGCCTGCTTTTCCCCTTCGTCAGGCACGACGGTGGCCGCTCCCTCAAGGGCTCTTGGCCCCCTGGGGCCCTGAAGCACGGCTGGAGTTGGGGCTTGGCTGCCCAGCCCTCTGCTCTCCGCTGGTTGGTGGGGGGGAGAAGGACGGCTGTCTGTCTGGAACTGGCTCTGGACCCCAAGGACGATTCCATTTTTCCCCAGGCAATTTTGACGAAGTTTTGATTCGGCACCAAGTGAAATACTTGGGCTTGATGGAGAACCTGAGAGTGCGCAGGGCTGGTTTTGCATATCGGCGGAAATACGAGGTTTTTCTGCAAAGGTACAGCGCTAAGACAGGTGCCCGGGCTGTGCTTCCAGGGTATTTAGTGGGTGGGTACAGTGAAGAATAAAGAGCTCTCCATTGGCTGCCCAGTCTCTGCCCTGGCATCTCTCCCACCCTTGCGCCCAAGGTGCCAACCCAGGCCTCCTCTGAGGCTGCCCAGCCACGTCCAATGGCCGTCTTAGCAGCAGGCCTTTTGAGGGCGTCCTTTCCCTCTCCTTCCCTCTCTGGCCAGGTACAAATCTCTGTGTCCTGAGACGTGGCCCACCTGGAACGGGAGGCCTCAGGACGGAGTGGCCGTCCTCCTGAAACACCTGGGCTTCAAGCAGGAGGAGTACAAGCTGGGCAGGTAACAGTTTGGCAAGGGGAGCTGCTCTCAACCTGCGGAAGCAAAAGGGGGGCTCTTCTCTCTTTCACAGACGTCTTTATTTCCAGGACAAAAATATTTATTCGTTTTCCTAAAACTCTGTTTGCGACAGAAGAAGCCCTGGAAGTTCGCAAGCAAAGCCTCGGTAGGTCTGCTGGGCATTTTTAAGTAAGTCAAGCTGACCCAACCTGCCTTTCTGCTTGGCTTAACCCCCATCTTTCCTCCTCCCCAATTTAAGCCACAAAAATCCAAGCTGCTTGGCGAGGCTTCTATCGGCGAAAGAAGTACCTTCAAATGAAGCATTCAGGTAGGAAGGCGGCCCTTCAAATAACTTTTGGGGCCCAGTGTAACCGGATGGCTTTGCCCTGGAAGGGGCAGCCGGGCTGGGCCTCGTGAGTTCTCCCCACGGATGGGCCACGGGGGGCGGGGGCTGCTTTGAGACCCCGGGGGGAACCAGAAGCAGGTGCAGGGGGCTCTGGGCGCTGAGCCCTTGAGGTCTCTTCCTTCCTGCAGCGGTCACTATCCAGGCCTGGTGGCGTGGTACTCTGGGACGCCGGAAGGCTGCCAAGAAGAAGTGGGCAGTGGAGATAATCCGGCGGTATGTGAAAGCCGTGGTTTTGCTGCAGGAGTGGGCTCTCTTTCGGGTCCCGGAGATCCTGCCCACTTGAAGGAAGGGTTGGGGGAGGCAGAATCCTGGAGTGGGGGCCTTGAGCGAGTTTTCTCATTCTGAACGGCCCATCTCTCTCCAAGAGGAACTCTGGGTGGTGGTGAGAGGGACTCCTTCCCACTCGTGACCCATCGGGGCTGATTGCTGGGCGGAGGGGTTGGTGGGGGAGAAGGAGGAGCAGGGGGCAGTGGGGCTGTTTATGCACCTGCCTGGGCTGCGGCCTTTTCCCCAGAGACCCCGCCTTGGCTGCATTCGCTGTTCCTTCTGCCCGAGACCCCTGGGCTGGTCCCCTGGCACGCGAAGCCGGGGTTCCTGGAGTGTGTGTGTGTATGTGGTGGTGGCGGTGGGGGGGAGCAGCAGCCTTCTTGAGCAAGGCTCCCCCCACCAACAGGTTCATCAAAGGTTTCATTTACCGAAATTGCTCCCGCTGCCCTGAGAACGAATACTTCCTGGACTACATCCGTTACTCTTTCATGATGAGCCTGAAGCGCAACCTGCCAAAGACTGTCCTAGACAAGTCCTGGCCGGTGCCGCCGCCTTCCCTGCGAGAGGTAGGTGCCCAGCTGCGTGAAGGGACGAGAGGGAAAGGAGGCCTCGCAGCCTGATGGAGCGTTGTCCCAGAAGTCCTGCTGGGTCAGAATGATGGTGGCTTCAGGAGCTTTTTCCTCTGAGTGACAAGCCAACCATGATAAACTGCATTTAAGGCATGGACTGCAGCGGTGATGGTATCTTTGGCAGAGTAAAAGATGCCAATCCGGTGTCTTTCGCCCACGAAGCCTACTGCTCCTGTGTGCGTGTGCTCACCCAGGTGGAGCCCCTCCCTGTCCCCTCCCCAGCCACGGCCCCTCGGTGGTCCTGCCTCAACGGCCCCTCACTGCTGCTTCTTCTTCTTCTTCTTCTTCAGGCATCCCAGCTCTTGAGGGAGCTCTGCATGCAGAACCTGGTTTGGAGCTACTGCAAAAGAATCAGCCCCGAATGGAAAATGCAGGTGGGGGGCCGTGAGGCTTTCCCTCGGGACCAGGTTGGGCGGGGGGGGGGAGGAGGGTAGAGGGGCCTCAGCTGTGCACTGAGTTTCATGGATGGTTACTGGGATTCTTGAACTCTGATGGCAGCCGAGGGCCTCCCCTGAAGGCACCCAGGGCCGCGGCCAGTCAGGAATCTCCGAAGAGAATAACAGAAGGACAGAGTTGGGAAGGACCTTGGAAGTCCTCTATGCCAACACCTGCCCAAGCAGGAGACTTGAGGTCATTCTGGACAAACGGCTCTCCAGTCTTTTCTTAAGAACCTCCAATGATGGAAGCACCCAGAACCTCTGGAGGGAAGTCCTTCCGCTGATGGATTCTTCTCCCTGTCAGGAAATTCCTCCTTAGTTCTAGGTTGGATCCCTCCTTGATAAGCTTCTATCTTGTCTTGCCCTCAGGTGCCTTGGAGAATAGCTTGACCCCTTCTTCTTTGTGGCAGCCTCTCAAATACTGGAAGATGCTATCATGTCATCCCTAATCCTTCTCTTCTTTAGACTAGATATCCTGCCAACTTCTTCATATTGTTTTAACCTCCTTAATCATCTTTTTTTAATAAAAAGTTTTTTATTTTTAGTTTTCAAAACAGACACAACACAAAAAATCCTCTTTCTTTACATACTGTAGAAAGTGTATCAGTTGGTT